ATAGGATTGAATAAAATAAAAAATCATGCTACATTTATATAGACATATGAGAAACACGCATCCAATTTGAACATTTATTTGAAATAATATTCAAAATGGCGGACATCAAAATAAGTGTAAAATCAGTATCATTTTAAAGGATAAAAAGTGTATTAAATAAATAAAATTGGATAAAAACAGCTGTATGTTGATTCTATCGAGTAAGATAACTTATTCCTATTCTGTAACTATTTGGAATTTATGAAAGCTTAAAACATATAATATTTTTCTTTTCAAAAGATTTATCGCGAAGTTAGAATGTCATTCGTTTGAATAGGTTATAAATATTAGATCTATATTTCTGTTTTCTACGTGAATAAACGATAATATCGTAAGAATACGTACATATTTCTGTTTGAAATTTCACGTACCCCTGTAAAACGTTCGTTGCAGCAATGTTGGTAGCATCAGTCGAATGTAATGTACCGTCATGGCGACGTTACCGCCACGGAAAAATCCAACTCCGACGAAAATTTCAAAACAACACTTGACCCCATTGCAAACGCTATTGCAGATGGGTTTTCCTAAACACCGAGCGTGAGTACCATATATTACATTCGTAAAACAGTGTCACTCTTTCGTTGTATTCGCACGAATCCTCACGAACGTTTGCACTGTACATTGTAAACAAACAGCTGTCAAATTTTAAGTATTATTACTATCTTCGTCTTCCCACTAGAATGATTTGTATTAAGTCATTCATTTTCAAGTATAAAGATTAAAGTCTAAATTGTTTGAGTCATTAACTTCTTTTGTTTTCCTAGAAAACAACACATTGCATACAATATACAATATCATTTCTTACAGTGTTTACATCTTGTAGTATATCAAAGAGTAATGAATAGAAATAGTATTCTACTCGAAGGTAGCTACAACAAATATTTTTTCATTAAAGGGAAAAAGCATTGGCTGCTACAGGACATCGAGGTGTTCAATTGGCATCTGATTGGATAGTGGCTCATGTTGCAGACCCAACTTTGAACTGCGATACACAAAGGGAATATGTTCTATACGTGTGTCCAACAGGTGCATTGGCTGAGCAGCTCAAGAGATTTTGGTCTGAAAGCAAAGAGTTAATGTGGAATAGAGCACACAATTATATGCCACATATTACACTTGTGTCATTTTTCAAAGTATGATATGATGTTATCGATGTATCTTGATTAAAAACAAGAAAAAGCATAACAGTCTTGCTTACAGGCTCCAGATGAATCAACCGAAGAATTGGTGAATGCCCTTGAAAATATAGTTAATCAGGATGAATTAACCAATCATATTGAACTGGAGACTTATATTTCTCCAAACTTTATAGGTCTCTTTGTGAAAGACTTCAATGCAGCATGGTTGGAGAACATTGCTCTTCGATATGTAAATAAACTAAGTAGTATGGGCATTTCTGCAAAGCCCAGAGTGAAGTCATTCCATTTGACTTTGATTTATCAGTTCCCCAGCAACCTGTACCAAGAACTTCGTTCAATGGTAGGGAAGCTAACGCTAACTTCATCAGCCAATTGGGAACTTAGATTGTATTCTAGAGACTCGAGGCTACAAAATGCACATGTGCATCAAGTGACACATGGCTATATGCCCAGAGAATACAATGAATTAGAATTAAGAGTGGGAGACTACATATACATCCCAGAAGGAGCATGTAGTTTGTCCACGGACGGTCGGGTTGAAGGCATCTCTTGGTTAACTGGTATGTCGGGTCATCTGCCTTTAAATCATACAAAACGAACAGCACAGTCAGATTCATGGACCTTGCATACTACCATACAATTCACTGATAATAAAAGTGAAACTGTAGAGAAAGATGATATACCTTTAACACGAAAACCACCAGTATTGTTAGCAAATGATTCTACAGATTGTCCTGATGGACTACCAGCAGCTACTGAACCAGTAAATGATATTTCTTGGTATTCTATTAGATGTACTATATTAGATTTCATTCTTATAACATTTTTCTTTTTATATAGCTCGAAGCCTCTGAAGCAGTTTCGCCTTCTGCAAGACAAATTTTTATTTGTCGCCATGGAGAAAGAGTAGACTTTACATTTGGAGCATGGATTCCTTACTGTTTTGAATCAAATGGCTCTTACGTTCGGAGGGATTTAAACATGCCAAAGGAAATTCCATTGAGAAATATACAAGACTTCCAAAACGATAGTCCTTTAACAACTGTAGGTGAAATGCAAGCAAGCTTGATAGGAGAAGCAATGAAATCTTCTAGTATTAAAATAGATGTAGTCTTTACGTCTCCATCGTTGAGGTGTATACAAACATTGGCACATATTTTGAAAGGGTTCGATTCAAATATTCCAATGAAAATAGAGCCAGGTCTGATAGAATGGTTGGCATGGTATCCAAATGGTATACCTGTTTGGATGACGTCTGACGAGTTGATAAAGGCAGGCTTTAATATAGATAAGAGTTACGAACCAGTTATTAAAGCAAAAGAGCTTCCATTGAAAGAGAATGCAGCACAGTATTACGAAAGAAGTTACGAGTTAATTAAACGAATTATTGAAAGTACTGTAGGAAATATATTAATAGTAGCTCATGCAGCTTCATTAGCAGCTTGTACTAGACAATTAACAGGTGGTAGAGTACCACCAGCTGCTGAAGTTACTAAATTAGTACAAAGAGTACCATATTTAGCATGCCTAACAGCTCGTGAAGGGTTGGATGGTTGGCAAATTCATCCGCCACCGTTTCCACCTATCACACATACTAGTAATACTAGATTTGACTGGAAAGTACTATTGTGAAAATATGAATATTATTTTAAGTTTTGCAACCCAATAAGTTTTCTTTTAACTTTTTAATTTATACAAAATATTTTAAAAGAGATGACGAGTATTTATGATATAACTTTTTGGGTTGGGTTATTTATAATCTACAACAAATTGAAAACGATAAGTTGTTGTTCACAGTTACATACAGTTAGTTTCAATATGGAAATGATACGGGTATTGGCATTCGAATCTTCCTT